ACATGCCCTAAATTAGTATTAAATGGGAAGGTGCTTGCCTTAACTAGGGAATCTTAAGATTTTCTTTCCTTCCCTTTCTTTCTTAGCCACCTTCCCACCTTGAAACATCTTAATAAGGCCACGGCACAGGCATGGATGTCCTGGTGATAGAGGGCGGCAGGCTGGCTCAATCCCTAGTCCTGAAATAAATAATAATATGAAGAAAAAAGAAAAGAGAAAGAAAGGATTACATAGTGATGTTCGGTACTTTAAAAAACCAGGTGATTTTTTTTTATTCTAAAATACACCTGGTCATTCTGAGGAGAGCCAAAGTTGTTCCAGAGAGAACACTGCAATGAATGTTCCAAACAAGGGCTTTGTTGGCACTCGTTAAAGATTCCAACTTAGTCCTGATCCCATTAACAGCAAGGTGACTCTTAATCATAAACGTTTTTCTTAACCGTGGTTAAAGATTGCATGCTAGAAAACTAGGTCAGCTTGCATTGCTTTAATTTGCCCGTTGCTCTTCTGAGAAATGCATCATGAGGAACATTTTGCTCAGTCTCCAAAAGGGTCTTTAGGAGTGGGGCATCTTCCTATTGCAACATGAGTTGAAGAGGAGAACTGATTTTCTTTATTATTATAAAACTAATGAAAAGCTCACTAAATGCATGCAGACAGAATTTTAGCAGAAGAGAGACTCTATCAACTAAAGGTAGTTCATGTGACAATATACATGTGTGGCCTATATACTGTTAAGACGGTATGCACAGAAAAGACTCATAGAATACATTAGAATTAGCTCTGTGAAATTGTTATGAAAAAGAACTTCCTTTTTCTTTTTGTTTCCTACATTTTATAAGTCTAAATATTTTAGTTACAAGGACAACTAAATACAATTAATGCTTATCTATTAGATCATAAGCTTTAGATATTCACGCACTGATGTAACTGACTCTTTGGAGCACGGATCACATACCAGGCCCTATGGCTGTTTCTCGCATGCAAAGTAACAAAAAGCAAAAGAATCCAAGACGCATGGGTGACAGGTAGTGGTGTTAAATGTTGTGGATGTCTGTCATGGTTTGAATGAAAATGGTCCCCCAACACAAATGCCACATGTTCTCTCTCATCTGTGGATACCAGCCTCAAATATTTTTTTTCTTGTGTGTTTAACTTGGTAGTATATGAGGAAATTAGAAAGAGTCCACTGGTAGTGGGTAGACACATTTAGGGAGAAGGGATAATAGAACACAAATTCTGTTGAAGAAGAGAATGGGAATACTGGGGGCAGAAGAATTTATGCAGAGAGTGGAATGATGCAGACAGGGAAACAAGGGGCCAGGGAAGGGTGAACAGAAGTGGAGTGAGTATGAAAGAGCTACTCAGGAACCTACAAACACAACCCAATTAAATAGTGTAAGAGGGACAGTAAAACACATGAGACATGAAAATCATAGGTGGGGCAGACACGGGGAGCCAAAGATTTAAGCAGGGATGAGGATGGGGGTAGGGGAGAGGGGACAGGGATATGTTAACAAAAACAGAGAGGCTTTATGAAACCCCAGCAGTTTGTTTTTATCTATCTATCTATCTATCTATCTATCTATCTATCTATCTATCTCTATCTATCTATCATCTATCATTATCTATCTATCATTATCTATCTATCTATCTATCACTATCTATCTATCATTATCTATTTATATATATCATTATCTATTTATCTATCATTATTTATTTATATATATCATTATCTATCTATCTAATATCAATCTATCTAATGGAGATATGCACACATGTGTACATCTGAGTGTTCCCACATGCTCTCCTTTACCCTCTCTAATCCAGATCTGAGAAAATGGATAGTTGAGTTTTGGGCCTAAGAGTAGGTATCCTATTTTGAATATTCACAGGAACATTTTGTAAAAGACATGTGTCAGTCATAATTATGTGCTGCAATTCAGATACTAGCATTCTATCAATATATTGATAGAATTCCCAATTTAAATTACATTATTGATAGAGTGAATCATTGTCTTCACAGTTACTCAGCAACTATTCATTGCTGGAGTTAAGGAACTCACAAGACACTGAACAGGAACAAGAAGTAGATGTAGTAGTGTTCATTTCTTAGTAACAATACCAAAGAAGGGAAAAATCAAACATCTACTTAATGAGTACTAGGAGCAAGAGGGAGAGATGGTGATGCAAATATTTCATAAGTTCTGTCAATTTCAAGCTACTTCCCTTTGGCTAGGAGCATTGTGGGTAGTGGATGAGTCAAAGAGACACCTCTTAGAAGAGTGAATGTCTCTATGTGGAAGGACAGTATGACACAGAAAGGAAGCAACTAATCTGTATGACTCAACACTACCACTGCCACCCCAATAGATGCAAAGATTTATCTAGCAGAAGGTGTGTGGAAATGTTCCTTCTGAGGTGGCGAAAGCATCCAGAAACTTCCATCAGAATGAGAAGGCATTGCAGGGCACTCCTTAGCTTCTCATTAAGATCTTCTAATGAGTTTAAGTTGAATAACTCCATAAATTAACATTAACATAAACTTCCTTTGCATATTGTGCACTCGGAAGTCTCGGTGAGACGTAGCTATGGGACCACTCCATCATCTGTCCCCTCATAACCTGAAATGTGAATTTGTTTAGGGCCAGTGATGCGTGGAAAGATGAGATGGGATAATTGTGAGGAAATTCCCTAATATTTATCACAAAAGCTATCATAATTAAAGAATGCAACATGTCTTTAAGAAAATATTTGGTTAATTAAAAATGAGTTCAAGAAAGGAAATTTATTTGCTACTCAAAGACAAGTAAGCCATGGCACCATAAAATACAGTGTGATGGGATTCAACAAATGTCCTACAGTAAGAGGTTTTGCAAAACCACTTGTATAAAAGGTCCAAGAAAAGCATTGCTTCAGCATTAAAACTGTATTCTTCATTAAGAAATGACTGGAAAAATAATTATATATGTGGGATTGCTAAATTATTCTGCAGTAATTCTTGGTACACACAGTTCCATTCTGAAAGAAACTCAATTTCCAAATATTATAAATAATACATTTTCTCAGAGAAAAAAATATATTTAATCAATCTGTCCTCTCTCTCTCTCTCTCTCTCTCTCCCTTCCTCCCTCCCTCCCTCTCCAAATGAGTCTATACAACCCACAACATGACCGAAAATTTCAGTACTGTTTCTCCCCTGCCTATAAACATGAAGCAGCCAAATCTTTACAGAGAAGGATCCATTTATAGCATTCTACTCCTAGGACTTCAATTTATTATAGAGCTTCAGAAATTTACAATTTTTTCTATTGAACCACTTTACAGTAACTGCGGGTGATACATATACCCTTTCCCCACAGTCCTACTTCAAAACTTCCAGGAAATCCTGGGGGTTGCATGCACGGTGACCGGGTATATTACATAAATACAAAACAAACCATGTTTATTGCTCATTTTAATGTAGGTTTGTACCTCGGAGAAGGGGGAGTTGTTAGCAAATTCATTCATTAAAATCCCATTATTTTCACATTAAGCTATAATTTATTAAAATGAAGCAATTTTCCTGATGAGAATTACTACCCTGGGCAATAATCATCTAGAAAGCATGGCCTTCCTTGGGATTTCATTTGGCTTCTTGAGTGTTCGTGTTACAGACAGTCAATGAGGGAGTTCTCTCTACTCAGCAAACACCTATCTAGATGATGCCTGGTGACTAGTCCTGAAAAGAAAGGTTGGTGGGTTTCAGAGTCAAAAATAGTAAAGTTTTTTTTTGTGTGTGTTTATTCTCTGTAAGTCTTCTTATTCTACCACACACACACACAAATAAATCATTTTTCAAAAAGTAATATTTTCTAATTTTGATTCAAAATTCCTATTTTTACATTCTACAAACATATCATTTGTAGTACACTGCTGAAGAATTTCTATGCCACTATTGCCTGTCCCCATACCAATAAAATCACCCCTTTGGGGAGTATGGGGATACAACGCTCTGTCTGCATTCTCAGGCTCACTGTAGAACTGATTTGCTAACAGTCAAGACGTGGCATAAGTGTCCAACAACAGAGGAACGTGCGAACGTGAGGTGGCACAGACACAGAAGAATATTACTCAATCGCCAAGTCATTGCAGACCTGTGATTGGCAGCGACACGGACAAACCTAGGAGTTAAGTGAAGGGGTCAGGCTAAGAAAGACAGCACACACACTCACCTGTCTGGGCAGGTGTGGGCAACAGGGAGAACTTAGCTCATGAGTACAAAAGCAGTTAGATAAAAGGAGTAAGTTCCAGAGTCCTCTAGCCCAGTAGGGATGACGAGGGGGTATAGTAATATATTCTGCACCTAAAAACTGTTACAGAGAGGATTTGCAAATGCTCCCTCCGAAAAGAAATGATGGGTGTTTGAGGTGATGGATATGCTAGTTACCCTGGTTTGATCATAGAAGGTACATACACATGTGTATAAATGTCATACTAATAAATTGACACAATTGCTACCAGTTTAAACAAAAACACAAATCTCCTTCAAGGCATGTAACCCACTGTCTACCCTGGGAATCTCGTGCCATATTTCTCGCACCCCTGAGCCATAGGGCCCTAGTCTTCTCAGCTCTCACGCTGAAGCAGTCTGGAGACGACCATCAATCCTGTCTCTTTACTGCACTTCAAGAGATTGGAGCAGCTCCACCCAGCTCCATTAACCCCACCAGAAGAGCACTTCTGATTTCAGATATTTGAGAGTTATCAACATCTTCCTTCATCTGAAAATCAACTCGGCAGGAGCCATGAGAGTGGATCGGCATACTGCACCGACAGTGACCTCACATATGTTGTGTGAAAATGGCCACTGAGAAGAAAATTGATATGTACCCTTCTAGAAGCTAAAACAATTGTAATTAAGAATAAGTTCTTTTGCAGGAATAAAATCGATATTTGGAGTAAACAGCCCACAGACAACTGGAAACTTGAGAGTGGACACGGGTCTCAGCTCTGCTCACCTCTCGCGGGGAACAGCAAACCAGTACTCGGGCTGCTTTCTTCTCTTGCCATACTGCTGGACCATGGCGGTGGTGTGACTGGCAAAGGATTTTCTCATTGGTTTTCCCACCTTGATACACAGAAACATCGGTGGGGTCTTGCTCTTTTCTTCTTTCGAGGGAAGTATATCTGAATCACATATAAAAACGCATTGCTCAATCCCAAGAATTGTGGCCACAGTAAAATTTGTCAACTTACAAAGAGGGTTGGCAACAGGTAGAAACCTGATTCAGCAGTACCCTATTAGATCTAACGAACCATCAGACTTCCTTTGGTACAAAAGGATGACATTTTTACATGTTTCAAGTTGGTGTGTGTTATACAGCATGCTACACACTAAAAGTGAGTATAAAAATGAGAACAGAAACAAATAGTGCAGAACTGTAACACCTCATGAGCACACACGTTAGTGAGCAGTAGTAAGACCTCAACCCACTACAAGGCTACTGGGTGTAGAACCGAAACTCCTCAAAAGCATTTTTAGCTGAATGTGGCTACACACCTTTAATACCAGCACTCAAAAGGCTGAGGCAGGTGGATCTCTTTGAGTTCCAGGTTAGCCCTGGTCTACAGATAGAGTTCTACTGGGGTATACATTGAGACCAACTCTCTCTCTCTTCTCTCTCAAAAACAGTTTCACCTCCTTTAGATTGAGGAATTTAAGGTTAAAAATTTATTTGAACGAGGCAAAGACTTCTGAAATAGAAATTTATATTCAGTTCAAGTCCTAAATAAATACATTTTACAAAATTTTACCCCAATCATTATTGCTATCAGCAAAGATATATTCTATTGAGAATATGTTACTCTTAAATAATTATTCTACTGTTACTACAGGTGCATATTTTACAAAGGTAAACATACAGTAGAATACAGAGGCACTAAACAACCAAAAGAACAATAACCAAAAAAGCCCCAAAACAAAACAGGAGGCTGGGGATGTCACAGTGTATAAAGTACCTACAGTGCCAGATGAGGACTCAAGTTTGGGTTCCCAGCACCAGCAGAAAAGCCAGGGTAGCACAAGGCCTGCCTATGACCCCAGTACTAGGGAGGCATGGACAGGAGATCCTTAGGCAAGAAGGCTAATTAGACTAGTTCTGGGCTCAGTAGCCACTCAGTCTCAGTAAATAAAGTGAGGCATGATCAAAGACAACGCAGGGCTTCCATGTTCATATGTATATGCCACAGATATACATGTATCCACAAACATGGGAACATGCATACACACATTCATATACTACACACACACACACACACATGAATATCTCCTACCCCCCCCCCCCAAAAAAAACCAAGCCACACAATCCAAACTCAACCAACTAACCAACCAACCAAACAGCTTACCTTCAATGGGTACCTGAATTCTCTTTAGCAGCCATAACTGAATCTCAGATTTATTATCCATTTGTGCACCTTGACAGCTCTTGTCCAGAGATGATTCCAAAGACTCCAAAGCCTCTTTGTTGTTAATTACATTTTCTTCTGCACGAGGGTCCAGTTTCAGGGGAAGGTTCTCTCTGTCTTTTACCCAGATTGCATCTGGCTCTTTGTGGCCCTCAGGTGGAGAGTCACCTGCCTGGGGAAGAGAGCGACTAAGCGTGATGTCTATTCCTTCTGGCTCGATCCTTTTGTTCTCACTGAGTTCTGACTTCTGTACATTTTCAGAAAGCTGTGATCCTTCTTTGCTTTTGTTTAGGTAAAATTCAATGAGTTTAACTTTATCGAGGTCTTCATGGATCTTGAGCGTGCTTTCCCCCTGGTTTTCTGGGGATCCAGACTGTTTATCTACTTCTGGCACTTTGTCTTGCTTCTCACAGGTTTCTAAATCGAGGACCCCCTTCAATTCAGCATCACTCTCTAACCCGGTGAGGTCCAGGGATGACAGCACCTGCATTTGCTTTGCAGACCTCATAGTTTGAGGCTCCCTCTTCTTTTGGTCACGGGAAAGAGATTCCTTCGTGGCATCTCCTTTGTCCATCCCACTTCCAGGTTGAGAAGAGAGTTCCTCTAAGTCAACAAAGTCATCATCTTCCCCCAAAAGACAGTTTTTTTTGGCTGTAAATTCCGAGGCAGCATGGGGGTCAGAAGGTCCCTTGCTGAGCTGAGTCACAGAGGGAGACTCACTGGCTGTCCCCCTAGAAGCTTCCAGTTTCTTTAATTTCCATGACTCAGAGCTTTCCAAGGGTTTCACCCGTGTGCACTCTGTTGACTCTTCAGGAGAGCCCATGGATTTGGGATTTAAAGGGAGGGTTCTCTCCCCATGCTGCTGCCGTTTCTCCTTGTTGATGGACTTGAACTTACTGAATGGATTGATATCTTTTTCTGAAGCCAGGTCCTCCCATTCTCCAGGCCTGTACAGAGGACAAAGATCCTGAGGTAGGTCACTGTTGGGGCAAAAATGGTGGATGCACATGGAATGTTAAAAATAAAACCAAAAACAAAGCGGAGGAAAAGAAAAACACAAAACAAAACCAAACTCAAACCAAAAAATACACTACAACTTAAATTTATGCTAAAATGATTTCAAAGTAAGAAAACGAAAGCAAGAGACTGATTACAAAATAAAATGTAAAATCAACTAAAAGTAATGACGAATGGATTGATGACCATGTGGGTTATACCTCTTGCTAGAAACACACGGATGCATTCAAAGCATGGAGATGTTACTTGCAAGACTTTTCTATATGAAATAAAGTTTTTGTTATTTATGAAGGAAAGGACAAAGGAGAGGGAAGATTTTAGAATTAATGACTAAAATTCCTTAAGAGGTCAATTTTTCCATTTTTATAAAACAGTGGAAGTCAGATGCAGAATCCTGAAAGGCTTCTTGACACCTCAGCTCCTTTATCTGTTCTTAGAAGCTGACTTTGAACTATAACTTTTTGTTTCTTGCCTTAAAACCAGATATTTCTTTTTTTTTAAAATATTTATTTATTATGTATACAATATTCTCTCTGTGTATATGCCTGCAGGCCAGGAGAGGGCGCCAGACCTCATTACAGATGGTTGTGAGCCACCATGTGGTTGCTGGGAATTGAACTCAGGACCTTTGGAAGAGCAGGCAATGCTCTTAACCACTGAGCCATCTCTCCAGCCCAAAACCAGATATTTCTAATTAAACTTATTTTCTAATTAAAAGGCCCCATTACTTGTAAACGAGATACAGAAGTTAACTTTCATTATTACTGGAAGTAACAGCGCCTTACAGTTTAAAGACCTACAGAAAAAGAAATTTTACAGAGGAGCTCTTAAAATATTGCAGAAGTTTCTAAAGCATTTCAAGTTTTGTACCAATAACAATGAAACAACAGTTTTATCTCTTGAAACATATTGTTCTGAGATATTGTCAGTTACTTCCCCTTAATAAGAGATGCTTAGAAACCATATTTGAATTATATAAAAGATCTGCTAAGAGTGTTCTTTCAAGTTCAAAATAAATGGCTAAGACACTTATCCACTTTAGTTAGGTTGGTAATTTGATACAGCTATTATTGTTGTTGTTTTGTTTGTTTACTTTGTAATGAAGACTGGCTTTGAGCTTACAGCCCTCCTTCCTGGAACTCCCAAGGGCTAGGATTACAGTATGCACCACTACACTTGGCTAAGAAAAAAAAATATATTTTAGTATGACTGGCACTATATTGTGAGCCCCTGCATCTGCACCTACAACAGTAGAAGCATCTCTGCTGGGTTCACAGAGATGCAAAACTCCTTTATAAGGTGAGCACCTGCAATTTCAGAATTAAGGATGCTTTCTCAAGGGCCAGATGATTTGCAAGTAGTATTTTATCCACTGTAGCTTTAAAATAAATGATGGCGCCAATAAAGTAACTAAGTCGCAAGCAGCAGACCTTCTCCCTGGACTTATTTTATAAGCCATTTGCTCGAAAAGCCCAGGCTTTTCCCAATAGGAAATGAAAGCCCATATAAGTGTTAGGCTCTGCTAAATGACTTAAAAAGCTTTAACTCATTCTTCAATTTAATAAGCATTCACTGAGCCAATAGGAGCCTATGCTAAAATATGGTTGTGACTGACTGAATTGCAGGAATGAGAATATACTAAGTGAATTACCTAAGAACAACATCCCAGAACATACTGAAGATTTCAGGGTCAAATAACTTAGTGGGTTAGAGAATCCTCTCATGTTGGATCTTAAAATTTCATTTGGCAGATTGAAGACTGAGATGCCCTGCAGATTAAAGAACTCGGCTCTTCACATCCTTAATTAACAAGCAAAAGTTTCTCCCATAAACATCCAAAGATCCTTTATTTCTCCCCTCTCCTGAATAATGATGGGAAATACATTCAACCGCATTCCAATGAACCTCACGGCTAACCTTGCCCACCTCTCATTCTTGTTCCTCTCCCCAGTCCAAGCTGCCAGTTTCCCCAACTGAGACTAATCTAACCATCTGCTTTTGGGCTCGCAGCTGCCAAGCCCTGCTGGGGCAAAGCATACAATGGTATCAACTGGTTCAGCTATTAATTAATGTTTTTCTAGACTTAGCCAGGCAACTAATGAGGATCGATACCCCTCACAGTTGTTCCCTTCCTATTTTCTGTGGCAGCTGGACCCACTAAATATCTCCCCCCCACAAGACACAAAACCTGAAAGTGAGGATGATTTTAATCATTAGTCACTCCCCACCCCCTTATCACCCTCAGCCCCTCTTTTCTCTCCTCTGTCTCTATCTATCTATCTATCTATCTATCTATCTATCTATCTATCTATCTATCTATCTATCCATCCATCTATCTATCTATCCATCCACCCATCTATCCATCTCTATTTCTATAGAAAGATTTCAGGCAAGCATTTTTTCTTTTACTATTTGAATGCACAAGTTTCCTTCATCATCTCTACTTCCCATTTTTCTTTTTCTTTTTTTAACTTCACAACACAACATCTCTCTACATTTTGGCTTTTTTCTACACAGTCCCTCGCTTTTACAATGCCCTGGCCCTGTAAATACCCTCACTTTGAAATTCCATCTATAGCTCTCAACAAATCCTGGTCTAAAAAGAAGAAATGGCTCTTACGATGGCAGAGCATCTTTGATCTTCATGTGAGAAATGTCGTTGTACAGGGCGATAGAGACCACCTCTTCCATGGGGCAGATGAGGCCATACTCTTCACATCCATTCTCAATAACCAAGGGATCGGACTTATGAGGGTCAAACATGATATTGTTGGGAGTGACGATCATGACACCTCCAACCACACCCTGCAGAAGGAATTAACAGAAGACCTTACTTGAGATAGAAAAAACATTCCCTGCCCACCATAGAACCTTCAATTACTCTGTCGTCCCCCTGGCTTTGTGGGCCACCATCTCCTATGTGACAATCACATCTATGCTAGGAAAGCTAGAAAACACGCTGGAGAGTCACAGTGCTGGTGGCTGGGGAGGCTCCCAATCAGATGCCCGTGCTGCCTTCCTGGCTCACACACTCATGTCTCACGGGCTCCCATTTCTCTATTAGAAAAATAACAGACTGTCCCAAGCCCATTCATGATCAAGAACACAGTACTCGATAATTCTTCAGCACGTCTCTAGCGTTTCATTCTCCTCTGTGGTACTGCAAGAGAATCAGAATCGTGGTGCCAAAGACTAGTCCTAATATTTTTGTCTAACACAATCACAAATCTCATTCCAGCAGAATTCAATAGAAACAGCAATAGGGAAAATTTGCAGCTCCAGTTTGCACAGCTGTGCCGTGGACATTAGACAGTAGCCTGCAAATCTTCAAATCTGAAGCTTTATCAGATTATATGAGAGACCCTGCTGATCAGCAAGATAATATCTGCCAGGGACAGTAGGAGAGGTTTCCGGCAGCAAAGTCAGTTGATAGCTTTGATCAGCCTTGTAATTAATTATCTTTGTGAATTACTTATTTTGTCTTCAAAAGTTTCTCTACTGTCTGTAGCCTGATGTAAATTCTCCACTCTATGCACAGAATATTAACATAGACCTTTCTTCTGAAGTTCACTAAAAGTCGGATTTCTTTTGTAGACAACAATGAGAAAACTAAAAGCATGGTGCTGCTGAAGTCATTTTCAATGCTAACAGCATCAGCATCAACACAAGATGAAAACTTTTTTTCCTAGATTAGCGCTTAAGATCTTCACACGAATCATCTCTTGTAAAGTGTTATGCCCCACTCATTAAACTTTAGTATCATTCTTATTTTATAGATGGAAAAGGCAGACAATAAGGATATTCAGATAGCTTCCTTGTGTCTCATATCTAGCAAGTAGTAGAGCTGAGATTTAAATTTAAAGTTGAGAGTATCTGCTATTCAACTCAAACTGTCTCCCTAACAACCTACAGGTCAAGAGCAAAAAGAGAATTGGCAAATCCCAGATCACAAGGAAACCTATTTCTTTTTTTTTAAAAAAATTCTTTTTAATTTTTATTGATTCTTTGTGGACTTCACCCTCTGCCTCTGCAACTTATCCCCCCAAGACAAAACAAAACTTAAGAGAAAAACCAACCCCCCCAAAACCAAACAAAATAAAAAATATTTCTATTTAACGAATATATTTCCTTCAATGGGAAAAGACCAAATATCCAACAAGAAAATCAATGAATGTTTGTCAAATCTTGCATATCAACTGTGGGTAAAATATTTTAATGGAGCCTTCCTTCCAGCAATGTGCGATCTTGTTTAGTTTCTGCAGATTCTCTTGACTGGTAACCTGTCACAGAACAAATACCTTTCCATCCGTGAAGTAGCGACAGTTCATCTTGAGAAATTTCACAACACCTGGCTCATCTTCTTCAGAAGTCGATGATAAGACTCTCTCAATGGGTTTTAAGGCCTTTCTTGCTAAGTCAGCATCCTTAGAAAGCAAAATGTCCAAAATTAAAGGGAAAAAAAATCACCCTTTTCAAAACACATTATACCATAAGTACATTATACCTGCTTTTCTTTGAACATTAAAAAGGACAATGACACATGTCCTTCAAAAATACCACAAAGTATTTTTTGGTTTTCAAAGTTGCTCTTCTCTTAGGCACAGAATATTCATACTTTTTTCAGAAATTCTCTAAAAGTTGGATTTTTGTATCAATCACCAACAATCAGAAAACAAAAAACATGATACAGCTTAAGTCATTTTTAACACTAATGTTACCAGCATCGATACAAGTTGAAAACTTCTACTTCCTAGATTAGAGGTAAGTTTGATAAGGGTCCAAATTAAACTAAGATTAAAAAATGTATGTGAGCCCACAAAACTCTTTCCCTAAATGCCTTAGACCATATCCAAGATGAAAAAATTCATACTAGATCACGGACTCCAATTCCCTGGAAAAGCACAATCTACTCACTTAATTGGGAATTAGCATCGTACCTTTTCATAAGGCATGCACCTTTCTCTTTGAGACCCTCTGTAAACAGCTGTGCCAGGAGAGGATGCATTCTCTCAACTGACGGCAACATCCCTGTCCTCACTCCTTTAGGGGAATTTTAGGTGCAATCATTAAGAACACAGTGTACTGATTTCCACCACTAATAGAAAGTATTGTAATAGAAATGAACCTCAGTGTGTAAGGGGCTAGAATACATACAGGCAGCTTATCGTATTCTGCATCTGATGATGATGGAGAGACAGTAGCACCAGGAGTGGACGATGAAAGCCGTAAGGTACTAGAAGGGAAGCTGGCATCTGGCACAAACAGGACCTGGGCATAAGAAAGCAAGGCTGAGTGAAGGCCAAAGTCGGGCAACTCTATAGCTCCTACTCTGCCCATCATACTCAGTGTCTCAAAAAGACCCAAAAGCTTCCTTTATACATATAAACAACATGGGTTCTTCTAAACGACCCATGAACTATACTAAGTGAGATAAATGGGTACAGTTCAATGGATATGGAACACTGACATTGTAGGACAGGTGAGGCCTGAACAATAGGAACTGGGAAAGAGGGAGGGAACATAGCTTGAGTATCTTACCTGAAATACTTGGGGTCAGTATTTCAGCTTCAGCTTATATA